AGCAACTGAGATGAATTCGATCACTTTAGTGATCAGTTAATGGGTTCTGAGCTGTCTGTGACGGATCAAGAAAGATCTTGGTGTGCTGGTGGACAGTTCGATGCAAGTGTCAACCCAGTGTGTGGCGGTAGTGAAGAAGGGCAGTTTCATGCTAGGAATCATTAAAAAGGGGATTGAAAATAATACAATCAACACTAATGCCATTGTACAAAACACTAGTAAGGCCACAATCAGCACTCTAATACCATTGTACAAAACACTAGTAAGGCTGCACCTGGAGTATGTTGTAAAGTTCTGATTGCCGCACCTCAAAAAAGACATCATGGAGCTGGAAAAGGTGCAGAAGAGAGACTCAAATGATGACAGGACTGGGGCATCTCACAGGAAAGGCTACAGCATTTGGGGCTCTTTAGTCTAGAGAAAAGGTGCCTGAGGGGGGAGATATGATTGAGACGTATAAAATTATGCAGGGAATGGATAGAGGGAAGCTCTTTTGCCTTTCAGGCAATGCAAGAACCAGGGGACATCAACTCAAATGGAGTGTTGGGAGAGTGAGAACAGACAAAAGAACATATTTCTTTACCCAGCGTGTTGTTAGTCTGTGGAACTCCTTGCCACAGGATGTGGTGATGGCATCTGGCCTAGGTGCCTTTAAAAGGAGATTGGACAGATTTCTGGAGGAAAAGTCCATTGCAGGTTACAAGCCGTGATGGGGATGTATAATATCCAGGCATAGAAGGAAGGTACCTCCAAATGTCAGATGCAGGAGAGGGGTATCAGGAGACAGATATCTAGTCTCATGTGCTCCCAAAGGCATCTGGTGGGGCCACTGTAAGATACAAGAAGCTGGCCTGATCCAGCAAGGCTCTTCTTATGTTTTTAAGATGGAGGGAAGAACTCAATATTACTTATTATGGCTGTGTGTTATATTCAGCATGAGGAGGGTAGTTAAGGAACACAATTGGGGAATGCTGTTGTCTTCATATCTTGCTTTTGAGCATCTGGTGCGTATATGGTTGGCCACGTAGGACACAAAATACAAGAAGCTGGCCTGATCCAGCAAGGCTCTTCTTATGTTTTTAAGATGGAGGGAAGAACTCAATATTACTTATTATGGCTGTGTGTTATATTCAGCATGAGGAGGGTAGTTAAGGAACACAATTGGGGAATGCTGTTGTCTTCATATCTTGCTTTTGAGCATCTGGTGCGTATATGGTTGGCCACGTAGGACACAAAATGTTTGAGTCAATTGGATAGTTCTTGCTTGCAAGTGAACATGAAGAGTATTTTGATGCAGAAATCTCCTAGATTTGCACAGGTAACAAGTTTAGTCCTACTCACATTTTGAAGTAAGCCAAAGTAAGCAAGCCTACTCACATTTCAAAGTGTGTCAGGTTGAAGTTAGCATCACAAATGAATAAAAATGCCATTTAGTATGAATATTCTTTATGGCAGGACACTGTAGAATACACAGTATAGATCTGTGTTGTACTGCTTTTTGAATTGCATTCACAAACTTCTGCTTGTATTCAATGTCACTTGAGAGTGAAGCAGATACTACCTGTAAAAGCTGCAGGTGCAAAGAAGAGAGTTAGGAAAGAGGAATTTATTTTGTTTTCAACAAACATTATATTACTGGGTTAATGAGGCTGTTAATAATAATATGTTGATCATGAGATAAGCAGGATATCCTGAAGTCTGACCATTAGATATCAGAGAATTTTCTTCTTATTCCTGGATAAAGTAGACCTATTGATTCAATTGATAAATGGCTGTGAATTCCAACAACTGACAACTTAATGGGAAGTTATGGGATTACATAAATCCAGTCATTTCCCACGGATTTGACTGTGCTTGGAACTAATTTTCATATATGCAGTTCATTGGAACCCCCAACCTATGTCTCTGCAACTCTGTGCATGTTTATTGAGAAGTAAGTTCCACAACATTCAGTACAGTACTTACTCTCAGAGGAAAGAATGACTTGAATTGCAATCGGCTTTTATTCAAATTTCAACTTTCAAGTTAATGTATATAAGCCTCGACAACTTGGTTATGCAAACAAAATTATATTTTAAAAAGAGGCATTTTGTCATATTAAAATGTAAATCAGTAAACAATAGTAATAAAAAACATCTGAGAAAATTAAATGTTTTTTAAAGTGTAGCCTACTGTACTGAATGTTGTTTTCTCCATATATCATTCACTTGTCAAATGTTTATACAATATGAAGAAAAACTTGCTGCTTGCAAGCAGAAAGACAACAATTAATACAGCCAGCATTTGAATTTATATACAATTTCCTTCTCAAAGTTCATGTTGGGCCAATTAGATTTGTAATCTCTTAATCCTTTCTTTACATTGAACTTTACTATTGTATTATTATCCCAAAACAGTGATTCTTAGGATACTAAATTCTGTATTCAATCTACAACAATGAAATCCCAGAAACAATTTATTTATTT